AAATATTTATAAATAAACACAAGGATATATAACGTGTTTTAGCTCTTTAAAGAAGTTAGGACTATCTGGGCGGAAATAGACAATTTGGAGCAACAAGCGAAATCCAAGTTGAACCCAAAAATTGCTTCTTCCTGTTCAGTAGATAATTTGGAAGGAACAGCTGAAAATGTTTCAACAGCACACACAATTGAAATAACTGCTGAGACTTCTGATTCACAGGTGCCTACACAAAAAGCTGAAGACAATTCTGAAACAGTGTCTTGCGAGGTGCAACTAAACAATATACCATCTTAGTGGTGCTATGATAATCATCAGTTTTGTTTAATATTTGATCTCACAAGACCGTTAGGAGCTTAGTGATACATTGAATTTATGGATATAGAATTAACACCAGTTTCGAGACCAAACAATTAAATGATGTATTGAGGATGGTAAATGTTTAAATCAAGTTAATCCTACACGCTGTGACGAATGGTGAAATTAAATATTAATGTGTAATCAAGAAACTATGATTATGACGATAAGAAGTAGTTAACATCAAGGTAAGTAAGAAATTATTTGCGCGTAAACATTGGACATGTGTAATATATTCATCCCCTGTAATAAGAATTAGGAAACAGCCCTAACTTTGCCATTATAGAAACATAATAATAGATTTACGGAATATTTGTGTGAATATAGACCTTTAGTACTAGAATTTGTATCATGATAAACTAATGTAATGTAAGATCAAGGTCTGATGTGTTGAGATCTGACAAAATACGAAAGACAAATGATTAGGATAAAGTATACAAAGTGATATGACATATAGAACGTCATGACCTTCTTTAACATATTTACATACATCACAGTCTTTAAAAGTATGAAGGTCCATTTTCTGCAGAAACGCAGAAATTGTTACACTGTTCGCGTTCCTCTAAATGTAATTTTTCAATTCGTCGTGCATTTTATATATACATATGTTTACATGTGCGTGTACGTATGTATGTATATATAAAGTAACTTACGTTTATCCTTCCTAATGATTTCATAAATGTAAACGGTATTTATGTTCATGTTAATTTGTAAATAAGCAGATTATACAGGTATGAAATTGATACGTATGAAATACGTTAAAAACATCAAGAGGTGTTCCATGATAGCATTCTTTTAATAAAATGTTTTATAGTAAATGAAATATTTTGAAAATATTCTCTTATCTAAGAACATTAGATATCTTGTAGAACAATTGTACATACATAAAGGTACTTTTAATAAGATTAAGAATATTTTTTTCTATATACCTTCAGTTCATCATATTTCATCGTATAATCTTCGCAATTTAGTGCATCGCAGTATATTAGTAGTTCACGTACTAACTAGTCTCCGAATTCTTCCATGCTAAAATTACTCGTAACAAGCAAATGCTATTCATTTTATAAAACGCGAATAAGATATCGATATTGTTTCGTATTGTTTATTTTTACCAATTATACGGTATATTATTGAATTCTATCTCTATTTTCATAGAAATTCTAGTAATGTCGTTATTCAGTATCTTCTGCTTACCTTATCACGAACAAGTACAGTTTCGAATATTTCCTGTATAATTTGAATTTTCGTTGTTTCGTCGAGTCAGAGATATATTGTTTTCATTTACAAATGTTTCAAATCATTCTATTCGAATACATACTATTTCTATACATATATATATATATATATATTTTTTTTCTTTTTACTTGATAATAGCAATATCATAATCACGATAATGACTACATCAGTGTAAAAATTTTCAAGTCCTCGGAGTATGAGTATATTTTACGAATTAGATATCGTTTCTATGGGCACTTTCCTTTCAAAAACTACTGAATCAGATATATCATGTACATTATATATATTATACTTTATATTGTATTAATATTATTATGTTATAACTATTATTATCTTTATGATAACTATCGCTATTATTGTTTACGTATTAAAATCGTTTAAGTTTTTCATCTGTTTTAGATTCGTTAAGAAAAAGGTATTCTCTAAACACGAGAGTGGTGATATGCGTGTGTGGCGCGAATGTATTTTTCGAAGACGATATATCAAATTATATTTGTAAATTGTAAAAATATATTAGTAACGACAAGTGACCGCTACGATAATGCCGTACAGCTTCACACATCTTTCACATACTATAATGAATTGAAACTATTGTATTAGTGATCACTGTCGGATCTAACTAACTTGTATAATAAATTATTGGAGAAACTTGAAACCTAAATATGCGGGCATTTGAACACTAATGCAGTAACGATAAAGGAAAGTATGTAGTTCCAAAAGATTTTTTCTAGCAAACGTGCCATGCAGTATTTCGTATTGATAAAGTTTGTGCTATATACACACGCACACGCACACATACGCGTATACACACCGCACGCACATATCTTATGATATATTTTATGTGCGTGTGCTGCTGCCTGTGTACGCGTGTGTCGTGTATACGCGCGCGCGTCTTGTGTGCAAGTGCTTAATATATTATATTACGTGTATACATTTATATTCAAAATTCTTTGATTGCATTGTTATTAGTTTGCGGACTTTATGCACACACACACACACACACACACACACGAGATATATAAATATGTAAAATATAATGAAATAATAACTTTAACGATGGTTAATAATGTTGTTATTTTATTTTCTATTCAATCAACTCCTTGATCAATGACTTACGTTTCTCAGTGATTTCTGAAAATGGAAACTCGCATAAACATCCGCAGCCTAATCATTACGTTACCGAAAATACATTATCATTTGTTTCATATGAGAACAAGGCTAATAAAAAGTCTAAATATTATATATAGCACTTGCTTGAAGTAAAATAGTTACTGACAAACTTACAGAAATTAATATGTTTGTACTTCTTTCGATAGCAAGGAAAACTTATATTCATTTGTTCAATTGTAAATTATCTATTTTTTTTAACATAACGAAGGTCAAGCATAAAATTTCTTGTCTAGACAAAGTTACAATATTTTTATTATTAACATTACAAACGGATACGATTAAAATATAGATAAAAG